AACAGGAAAAGCCACTCAAAACGGAGAGAAGATTGGCGCGTTCTACAACTATGAATGCGGTCACGTGGCTAACGGAGGGAGTGAAGTGTCACGATCTGAAAGTGACATTACTCGGTTCCCAGACCCATATCCCTATTACAGCTTTTGCTGCTGCCGGAAATAAAAGTACGAGTGTAAACAGAGCGCTGTGAAGACAATAAAGGTGTTGCTCTTATATGCTCCGATTCGTTTGATTTTTATGGCCGAATTTTTCTCTTCCCCTTCGCCGTTCCTTCAAATTCACTTGCCCATTTTAAGCCCACTATAGATAAATCATTAAAATGAAAAATTTTACAATTCATATCCGAGCATAATGGAGACAATTATGTTTATTATCCTTCAAATATTTGTCTCAACACGCGTATTTTTGAAAATTGGTGAGTATCACTCGGATATTCCCTTGTTTTAGCCAGGGAATATTCAGTCATGTGACGTGTTTAGACCAGTCGCGAGCGAGCGAAAATATATTAAGGATTATGAGCTCGGATATTTGTCCTTGGACATCATTTGTTCCTCAAAGCTCACAGCTTTCCTCGAGCTACGCTCGAGCATATTTTCGCCCCAAATGGAGGCTAAATATCTATTTATTTCCACATCCTGAAAAAAGATGTAAGCGATGTTCCAGTAGTCCAGTCCCTGATCCTCATTGATCTGCGTTACTCATTATGGCCGAGTGAGCTTGGGTTAGGGGTCAATAGAAACAAAGATGGCGGAACACGTACTTACGAGGAATGTCAACTTCTGGTTGAAACGTTACAGAGTTCTTGAAGGCTGTTGCGTTACATTGAAAAGACATTCAGATAAAACCAGGCCAGAGTATTTAAAAATGGTAATCTACATGAACAAGGGAGTATGATTTGGATCATAATGATAAATCTCTTGACATGAAACAGGGCCGGAGAGACTGAATACAGTAAGTGCAGAATTCCTTGTCGTGGCGAGAGAATTTTTACTTACTGAAAGGATAACAGAGTTGAGCCTGTTTGACCCACAGGCCAAGATTGGAGATTTTGGATATTTTGAATGAAATGGAGAACAGAGAAGAGAGAAGGCAGATGAGATGAAAACCTTAGCAGATGAATACAAGATAACAGTGGTAAATGGCAGTTCCAGTAAAGACTACCCAAATGAACATCTGGCACTATCGAACAGGTATGTTGATTATTAATTAACGTATTAGTGAATAACTGTGTTCGACAGAACGCAGTTCTAATCGCGTAATGGAGGAAAATCGAGTTTTCCTGTATGTATCTTTCTATGGACGCCAATATTTGGCCCCCCAAAAAAATTTTTTGAGGGGCGAATGACGTCATCTCCATTTTCGTCCTTGTGCTTTCTTTCGAGTGTTGTCAGTGCAATATTGTGGACTTTCGAGTGTTGACAAAGCTTACTGTGGACTGTAGTAGATAAGTTGAAGGCAGTGTTAATGGCATTTAAAAACCTTGCAGACATGTCTTCACGAAATGTGTAGGATTCTTTGTGCGAACAGAAAGCTGTCGTTTGGCTGCGTGTTGTGTACCCTCTTCTCTTCGACCAAAACTAATGCTGCTTTTGAAAAGTGTACTTTTCACTTCGCTGACCTAGATTTCTGTGCGCAAAATATGTAACATAAACCCAACGAAAGTGTTTACATGGGAAAAGAGTTCAACTCGTACAAGATAACTTTGGCACACCAGGGCAACCCGGAATCCGGAACCGGAACTGAAATCCGGAATCCAGAACCTGGAATCCGGAATCCAGATATTATGAATGACAGTAGAAATAATTCACTTCAGCAATGTCTAATTAATAGATATAGGGGAAAATTATTTTGTTTTTTATTTTCTTTGCTTTACTTCAACTACAAACTGTAATTGTTAACAAATTATTGACTATTTTAGTTCTGAACAACCCTTAGCTATACATCTGGCCCGGTTGTTTTAATAGCTAGATAAATCTATATATTGGGTAAATCAAAAGCCAAATTTATACTTCCTGTAAACTGCAGTTCACTTATTGAACAAAATGGCAATTACCAACAAGCTTATTTTAGACGCTCTCAGAGTGCTTGGAATCAAATTACAACGCACGATATTTAGATTTTCATAATCATAGCCCTTGCTAGAAATAACCATTGCCCGAATTTCAATAGATGGGAAATTTTTGTTTCAAAAAAGAATAAGTTTGAGGTCCTTTTTACTTGGCCTCTAATTTTTTACAGGTAAAAGCTATGCAAAGTAATTTTTGCATATTTTAAGAACCTGTTTTCTTTGATTTATGGATTCCGGATTCCGGTTTCAGTTTCCGGTTCCGGATTCCGTTCTCCAGTTTCCTGGTTTTAGAGTTGCCCGCACACCAACATGTCCTCCGTTTCATTGTTTCGGAAGTGAAAATGCTCAATAGCTATTTCTCCAGAAGCCAAGGCGGCAGATGTAAACCCAGTTTATTTGAAAACACTTTCATAGAACCTTTCAGGACTTTTCAGTCTTGAAGGTCTACATCCACAATTCAAGAGGCTCTAGGTCATTTTAAAAGTTCAGATCTAGATTTGAAAAACATTGTTGACAACGGGAAGCCGCAACGCCGTCAATACACCTTTTTCGCATGGGCGGTTTGTTTTCACATTACAGACCACGTGATATTCTCCAGAGCATTCTTTTATCCATCTTAAGACTATTTATTCACACGACTATTTGAAAATTTGAAAGGAAGAATTCTCAAGAGTATCATCACATGGTCTGAAATGGGGCAACAAACCGCCCGGTCGAAAAAGGTCTATTTGTTACCATTGTAGCAGCGATGTTAATCGAACCTTTTTGAAAAGTTTGTTAAATTTTCAGAAGCTGTGTGAAGCAGGTATCCCGATAGAACTAACACCATGAATAATCACCCGTTCATAGTTGAAATGGTGTGCCTCTGAAACTTTAAACAATTAACGTCCTAGCTCTGGTTTCCCATGATTCCATTGTTTCTCGTTGGCTATTCGCTCGTAGAAGAACCAGTAGTGTAATTGCCAATCGTTGAAACGGTTTAGTGGAAAAACAAACATCATTGAATAAATGAATCAATGAATGAATGAATCAATGAATGAATGAATGAAAGACTTTATTAAATCGATCGATTGAGAGAAGTTTTTATACAATTAAGAAAGTGCAACTGATAAATAAAGAAATCCTCTTTATTTGAACGTATGTTACGAGTAGTGTAGGAAAGATGCCCAACAGGTCCCTCGCCAATCAGGGCGCAGGATGTTTTGAAATAACCATTGACACAATTAGAGAGCCGTGTTTAGGACACATGCCCTCCTTATACGTCACAGGTCCTCAATGCAACTGGCTTCAATATTGTGATAAATAAATAAATCTCCTTTATTTAAAGATATGTTACGAGTAGAGTAAGACGCTCATGAGTGCCCTAACCAATCAGAGCGCAGGATTTTTGAACGGACCAAAGAACAAAGTCAAAGCAGAGACAACAAGGGAAAAGCCAGGTTCCATTTTCAAGACTAATTTACCATTTCTTTTTCAATGATTTAATAGAAACAACACCGGCAGATATACACTGGAAGTTAGGAAGTCAAGCCGGACAGGTAATTATTCAATTGTTGGAATGATAACGTATCAATTTTTCTCGAAGTTTTAAGGAATGTTGTAGAGAAACCCAAGGTATTAAAAGATTTCTCGAATACCGTTTGTGTGTTTGCATTGTTGTTTCAAGAAAGGTCATCCTTGAAAAGCGAAAACGGGCAGGCAACAATCCCGATAGCTACTATGAGCGATGATAGTTTTCCGTTGCCTCTTCGAAGTTCACGAGGATAGCATGAATAGGAGCATTCATAGCTTTGGAACACCGTGAACTTCGATCAAACAATGGTGAACTATCACTACCCAAAATAACTATTGGCACCGTCGCGTATGTTTTTACGCTTTCGTAGGACAACTTTTCTCGAAACAGCTGTATAGCATTCGTTACAAAGAGGCATGTAGTTGCATCATAAAAGTGGTGAAGAAAACAACACTTTATTTAGCAAACGAAGCGCGTTTGAAAGAGGAATTTCTTTTATTATCTAGACCAGTTATTCTTTATCGGATGGACTCAAGCTCTTTATTGCTCAGTTTTTTTTTTTTTTTTTTTCATTTTATTTTGTTTTCCCATGAAACTTTGATCATTGTTATTGTTGTTTTAACTTAGAAAGAAGAGTTTTCTCAACATCAAATGACGGAAACGAATACTCCTATTCGAACATGTATTATAGTACATTCAAATGCAGCCACTGTAGCTAAAAAAAGAAGTCACACGAGCGTGTGTAAGACGTTTTCCCAATTTTCCAAGTCTTTTGAAGTCTTACAGACAAGTGCGGTTTAGACTACAAATCGTCAAAGCACAACGCTTATGTATCTAGCTGTAATGTGAAGTTTTCTTGCTAAGATGAATTAAGGACTTATGATCTCCGTTTTTTTTACATTTTCGTCCACAATAGGTCTTTCCTGGATATCTTGCCAAATTTCAATCTATTACGAACATTAGAACCACGTTTTTTGGACCTTTTTTCCCGAGAATTTACAGCCGCCATTAATTTTCCTTGTTCCAAGTCTTGGCTGAGAATAGGAGTAATGACGTCATTCACTCAAAGATACTGCACGGGTTGAAATTATAATAACAATTAGTTTAGAAAATTGCACGAATGTAAGAGCCAACGTTTTTGTTCTTTATGCGAATTGCTGTACTAATTGTTATTATAATTTCAACCCGTGTGGTATTTTTGAGTAAATGACGTCATTTACTCCGATTTTCAACCAAGCCTTGGAACAAGCATGAACGGTGCTAACTACGCCTGTTAACAATTAAGCAAATCATTTGAGGAAAGCTGTAACTTAAATCATGTTCGACCAGTCCGTAACTGTCCAAATTAACCCAACCCAAACAGTAACAGGGAATCAGCGTAATTATCATAAAGACCATCATTGCCAAAGCACAGAAAAGAGAAGCAGATATACAGATAACCCCACTTACCCTAAATACCTTCCCTGCACAGTTGTCTAAGCAAACGAATGCTCTGTCTGGTAATAACCTCCGGTATCAATTCGAAGGACTTAGTTATTTATCAACTTTAACTTAATAGAGGTAAGTTAACCTCCGTAGTAAGTTAGTAACGCTGATGTTTTAGTGTCAGCCCTTCGTCACTTTGGTCAGACGATTGACTGACACTCGAAACGTCAGCTTCACTAACTCTCTACTGAAGTTAATTTTCCTTTGTCAACTCCAAATTGATAAATTGCCGAGTCATTAATTGAATGCGAGGTCCTGTTTGTATATTATTACATACATCTTACTCATCTTACCGGGTGGGAACGCTACGAGGGATTAGTCCCTGCAACCAGTCCCTAGTGTAAACGCTTCGAGGGACTTGTCCCCTAGTGGGGTCTCAACTTTAGAGACAGTCTTCGGTCCAAACCTTAAAGAATATTGGACCAGCAATTAAGTAATCTCATTGGTTATTGACCCTCTGAACTAACCTTGTGTAATAATAGGGGTTATTTTATTTCGTTGTCTTTCAGATGAATTTTGTTCCCTCATGTGATAACAAAAGCCACTTCAAGATCGACAAGTGGAACGTTACGTGAACGTTTCTACCACGAGATTATAGTGAATAAGCAAAATATGATCATTGTTTATCCGTGGAGAATCAGTGAAAAATTTTGTTAAGGAAAACATTCCCCTGTACATTCCAGAAACTGACAGTGATTACTAACCATAGCCTCTCAGTATGTATTGTAGAACCAAACAAAAAGTAAACTGTTTGACGTGAAACGACCCCAGAGAAAACTGGGCTCCAATAGGCTTCTTGTTCACAGGCTTACGTAACCGAGACCCTTTTGCAATTACCTTGTGCCTACATTAGATTGGATAGAAGCTTGTGTAGAAGCCTGGATGCACTAAAACAAGGTGAAATGTTTCGCGTTTCAATATAAGTTTTGTATAACAAGTGTCAAATTTGTCGCGCGTTTATTGGCCAATCGTTGTGGAGGCGGATCCAGGGGAGGGGCTGAGGAAGTTACAAAACCCCCTTTGAGTAGCATAAATATAATAAAATTGTTTTATACCTAGTTGTTTCACTTCGGTTCCACCAATTGCCTGATCGTCTTAGCGGGAAAAGATGATAAACCTTTTACCATTGCATTATCTTTCGGTTTTCTGGTTGATAAAAAGGAAACTACAGATTTTATATCATGTCTCCACAAACGTTTTTCAAGTGTCAGGAATGCTGGAAATGGTGTTTTAGATGGTAAAATCGGAAAAACATTTTCTCTCTTGAAGCTCTCGCCTGCGGCATTCTCCATCCACGCCGATGGGGTCGAAGTTATTAAGGTGTATAACTACCTCCCCCCCCCCCCTCCCCCCATTCAGGATCCGCCTCTGCATGGGCTGAGAAAAATCTCATGCTAATTTGGGGACACAAAATGTTGACGACGTTAGGAAATTGCGGAAATATTAGACCTACTTGAGCTACCTCCCGTGTAGGAACTAATCAATTTTTTAAACCTTGTATACTAAACCAGTTGTAATTAGGCGCAATTTAGATGTTCAGTGAATAGTAAACAGGTAATGTTGTAAACGGACGTTTCAAAAATTAACGTTTGAATACGTCGTACCCAATCGTAAAAAACTAAGAACAAATACCTTCATTATAAGGAATTTTTCGGGTTGAGAGACTTAGTTTTTTGGTCTGTTTTGTCCTGTCTGTTTAGTTTTCTTTTTCCATAAGGTTTTCGTATTCAATTTAGGCCCCATGCCCAATAAGAGGTCGTCACAATAAGAGGTATAAGACCGTATGAACGTAAGCGAGAATGCTAGTTTAGTTTGCTCTTATTCGCTTCTTTACTAGGAATTCCCTTTAGTAATTACTAGGTAATACATAAATGAGAAACATATGTACATATAATACAGTTTTAAAAAAGATAAAGAACGGGTTCCATTAGTTAAGGAAAGTAATAATAAATAAGACCAGCGAGAAATTGAATACGAACTGAGCACTGATGTAAACGGGAAAGCAGTCTGCACGACTAACACATGAACTGATGTCGCCTCAATTCCTGCAAAATGAAAAGAAAAGAGTAGAACTGAATCTATCGATATTAAGGACTATACAACACTTCAATAAGAAAAGCCTAACCTGAGTAAAACACACAAGGACGTGACAGGAACGCATAAGAATCGCCTCTTCTAACTGATCGTTTACCTCCTCGTGTGTAGGCCTGTCCCGATTGTGCTCGGCAACTTTTGAGCAACTTTTGGCGTTTGGAGCAACGTTTTGCGGTTTTAGCAACCTCGAGCAAGTTTTGCCTTTCAGAGCAATTTTTGAGCAAAATATTGGTTTAGNTTAAGAACTATACAACACTTCAATAAGAAAAGCCTAACCTGAGTAAAACGCACAAGGACGTGACAGGAACGCATAAGAATCGCCTCTTCTAACTGATTGTTTACCTCCTCGTGTGCTTTTACCAACCCAAAGTACACCTGCGTTGCAGTTATAAGTACTAGTTTATGGAAACATTTCGTGTCCGAGGACTAAACGAACCCGCGATTTTTGTTTCTAAAGTTACTACGCAATGTAACGTACTAGCATGACATCACCCTGGCACGACTGCTGTTCAAATAGTCCTATTAATTTTGACCAAAAATCAGAACATCTTGGAGTATATCAACAAAGATTTGCTAGAAACGGCATTCTGTTCCAGGGATTTCATTCACTTTAAAGTGACAGGAATCCTGGGAACATCTGCTGAACTACATGCACTAGTAAAGCTGTTAGCAGAGAAAAGGCGAGGAAATGGCCGATGAAATTGGGTGGTGGTTTTCCAACTCATCTGAATAATTTCCAAGTCGATTATCATGTGATTTCTCTCATCCATAAAATTTCAAGAAGATAGGCGAGCAGAATAAAGACAATCATCAACTAGGGAATGTCGTCTTGATACTGTTGATATAACACTAGATTCTCACCACTTACATTGATAGGAATCTGTTGTAACCTGTTAGAAGAATTTATATTTATATTCTATTTCCAGGTTGGAGCGAAAAGAATGATTTACTGTTAATTGCATTTCGACAGCTCCTCAACGACCTTGTTCTGTCCAAACTGTTGGTCACATTTGGTGTACGCATGCTCTACGTGATAAAAACCCCATTTATTGCACGGCTAGCTCTGCGAGTGGGCAAGATGTGAGCCAGCTCCTACGCTGTGATTGGCTGGCCGGGCGGGCAAGATAGACCTGCTGGCTTGCTTGCTAGGGATTGCCCGCTGTGTCCCGCAAGAAAAATGGTGTCATTAATGTCATGCAATTAATCCTTTATTGAACAAGCTTGCTCTGTCAAGAGGACTGAATATTAGCCTCGTAAGTCTGAGTCCTCAA